GACCAAATGTAGGATAAAATTGTGTAAAGCAATGGGCACAATGTAAAACTGTTAAGCATGTTCAAGTCATCCTAGTTAAATTGTCGTTTTACATCTCTCTATTTATTATATATCTCTTCTGAACAAACATTGAAAGGCGTGTTAACTATTCTTTACTGTATTTCTCTTTTAATATATCAGATTTCAAACGCATCGTGTCTGGTTGAACCATTCTTCCAAATGAAACGCAATTCAATAAATAAAATCAATTCTGGAAATTTATATTAAAAATATTTAAAATGTCATTCGAGGATAAATAAAAATTTAAAAAACATTTCTGAAGAGACAATGCAATACAAACAATTGAAATAAAAGAATAAACATTTTAAAATTACCTAAAATAATAACTACGACAAAATATATATATAAAGAAAAGTATTTGAAAACAAAAAATGAACGCTGCACCTTTATTTACGCAGTTCGAATAGGTAAATAGAAAATTTTAACGTTATTCGAAAAAACCATGCAACTTAACAATTAAACTGAAATTCAAAAGAAATACTTAAATAATAACATTATAATTAAAAATATAATATAAGAATATTATTTGGAAAAAGGTAGGATGTGACTTTTTTCCCTCGCACGGGAAAGAAACTAGGTTGCCATATATAAGCAAACTGAAAACAATTGCGAACATAAATTTGTGAATTCTCTCCGTAAATTTCGCTCCAATTTTACATTATATAGGCGTAATTTGATTCTAGAATAGAAATATAACAAAATTGGTATGTTTATTCAGAAAAAGTCCAATTTTGTGTTAAAATACCTATGTTAGAAAGTGCTATATATAAATCTAATATATATCCTAAGTCGCGCTTTCGAGACATGAAGAACGCAATTTGAATTTGTCATCGCCCCGTAAACGGGAGATAAGCACTGTCCCCCCCTTTTTTTTTTGAGCAGTGTCAGCTTTGCACAGATATCCATTTCTCAACGCATTGGGATAGCATTCAATAATTAAATGCCAAATTTGAGAAAAATAATCAGGAAGACCTAAAAACATCTTAAAAATCTTCCTGCTAAATTTCAAAATTTTCAGAAATCTGAAACAAAGAAATTACTTAAGTATTAACTTTACTTATCAATACTCAAATTCGTATGAAGTCTCTGGCTCAAGAAACAGTATCAATTACATTTCATAAACAGACAGGATTCATATTTAAACCAACAGTTCCCAACTTGCATTAAGAGAAAAAAAGCGGGCAATAAAATCTGAAAGCTTTCAGATTTTATATTACACACAAAGGGACCTTTTTTAATATTTCGTGTGTTACCTTTATTTATCATATTTTTTACACTTAAACTATATAAAATTCAATTCAACTGCAATATCACAAAATATTTAAAAACAACATATTTTTAGAATTTCGGATAGACAGTCTCTTACGCTGGAGAAAATTTTTTTTCGCACAGTGTTGCCACTGCTCACTTTCAAATCGTTGAGTTCATTAATCAAAAATTCATTAAAGTTTTACAAAATATGAAATAGATAATAAAACAAATTCAAAATTCAGGCTTCCAGTGCAAGGAGGATTACATTATTCAACCTTTGATGGCTCTAGGTACCATTGTTTTGTCACAATGCGAAAAACACACATACATTCATGCAGATTCTTCGTTATTTAATTTCTTTAAATATAATACAGACAATAATATTTCGTGTCAACAATTTAAAAAATTATTCACCATTTATAGTGAAATGCCACAAAATAGTCTTTTGAGACTAATAGCCCTTCTGAGCTACTGTCCCTTTGGGCTAAATATTGATGTAAGAGTTTTCTTCACACTGATCCCATGGATCAAATGTCACTTTTCTCAATGCAGGCATAGAAGGCTCAATATTTAACAACAAAAATGGAAATTTGCAAAAAAATTACATAATTTTTTTCCAACTCTATGGCAACAATTTGGGTTATTTTCTCTTATTCAGATGTAGACTCAAAGTTATTTGCAATCTTGGGATTTCTGAAACTAAACACAACGACAAATTTCACACTATGGCAACTTCTGATAATGGGATGGCAGGTTTTTAGCAAAAAGAAGGACAGAAATTGTGCAATCACCTTTAAATGTACTATAGCAAGAACTTGTTACTGAGAATACTTGTTAACTATAGTAAAAACTTGTAAAAAATATGATTCATACGAAATATAAGTTAAATAAATGGAAAGAATCAAAGTGAAGGATTGGCAGTACCCCCTTGACCAAATCATTTAATTTCCAAGAGAACATATTGTCACAGTTTCCATTTAAAGATAAGACATGATTGTTAGCCCAGAAGGTCTATTAATTTCGCTTTGGCGTTTTGTGCTGAAAACTTTAAATGTCAGTCCACTTTAAAATTGTTGCCACCAAATATTACTGCCCTGCATTATATTTAAAGTAATTAAATAATGAAGACTTTGCATAAATGTATATGTATGTATGTTTCTCGCATTGTGATAAAACAACGGTACCTAGAGCCATCAAATTTTGAGTAATGTAATCTTCCGCCAAATATCGGCATCTCCAAGCCCTAATTTGGAATCTGAAATTTGCTTTTTAATCGATTTCATATTTTTATAACAAACTCAATGATTTCAAAGCGAGCAATGACAAAATTGCACAAAATAAATAAATAAATCTCCAGCTCGCGAGACTGTGTGTCTGAAATTCTAAAGATTATGCTCATTTTAAAATTATTTTGCGATACTGCTGTTGAATTGAATTTTATGGTTTAAGTGCAAAGAATATTTAATAAATAAATGTAACACATGAAAGGTTAAACAAAGTCCCTTTGGGTGTAATGTAAAATCTGAAAGCTTTCAGATATTTTTTAATATTTTTTAAGCCCAAACGGTATTAACACAGAAAAACTATTAATTTCATTTTGGCATTTTGCATTGAAATCTTTATACGTCAGTTCACTTTTTAAACTGTTGCCACCAAATATTACAGCCCTGTATTATATATAAATGTATGTATATTTCTTGCACTGCAATAAAACAACAGTACCTAAAGCCATTAAATTTTGAATAACTTATGTTTCCACCTGAATATGGGCATCTGGAAGCCCAAATTTGGAATTTGTTTTATGATCTATTTCATATTTTGTAAAACTTTAACGAAATTGTTATTAAAAAAACTCAACGATTTTAAAGTGAGCAATGGCAACACTGTACGGGGAAAAAAAAAAAAAAAAAAAATTTTATCTCCAGTGTGCGAGATTGCGTATTGGAAATTCTAAAGATACTGTTATTTTGAAATTAATTTGCGATATTGCTGTTGAACTGAATTTTATGGTTTAAGTGCGAAGAACATGATATTTAATAAACAAAGGTAACCAACAAAACATTAAAAAAAAAAAAAAAAAAAAAAAAAAAAAAAAACGCTTTTTCCGTTGTAATGTAAAATCTGAAAGCTTTTTTTAGCAAAATATTTAGATAAATATGAATCCCTTGCTGACACTGACTACGGTAAGTAAACCCAAAAGGGGGGGGAGTTACAAGGGTAATGAAAAATATTTATTAAAATAGAGAAAACAAAGAAGGGAGTGAGGGCAACTTTTCTATCAATTTTTCATTGTTTTTCTTTTCTTAGTTTTTGAGAATAATTGTATTTCAAACCAGAATATGTTAATTAGGAGGGCATTTATTCTATAATTAAGATAAATTATTGCCTAGATAACAATTGATTTAGACAGATAAGAATCATTATAAATAAATAATGTTCTTTGAATTAAATTTTACTGCTCTGTTTTTCCTATTAACTAGGAATAATGAAATTTTATAATTTGTTAATTGTTTATTATTGTATATTGTTTATTGTTGTAGAATTAAAGGAAAAATGAGTTTAAATAGTGACCAGATTTTTCATGTAATTATCATCTAATTGCCTTGACTGGGATTCAATTGTGTGGCCATTCCCAACTAGCTAAGAACAAAATAAGATTTGGAAGAAAATATGAATTCAAGACTTCCATGATTTTAAGAGGTTTCTAATAACTTTCAAACTTGTATTTTTTTTATAAATATGGCTGAAGGCAGCAGTTGTAACTGCTTAGCTCTCGTATGCAAATTTTGATTATGTAATATATCATTTGTACACACGTCGCACAAATTGCACAGATGTTATTTTCACAGATGTCATATTCTTTAATTTTGGTAACAATTTACTTTGGCTGATACAAAATAAGCGTCGCTGATCTGGCTGTCCACCTAGTCATGGTGGCTGCTGGTTGTACAAGTAGATTTTACTTCTGCTGATCAGGTATTAATTCCGATTGGTTTCACCTTAAGACGGAAGCCTGGTCAGCGGCAAATGAACAAAAAAACTGCTGCTAGACAACACTCTTGAGACAACACTTTCTACACTGAGGGAAAAATATTCCATTCACAATAATTACTTTTCAAATGCTGATAATTGTTTTTTTTTTTTATACACCTATGCAGATACTGGCATGTTAGGGAGATAATTCAAGCCTTACGAACTAGGTGATCATTTTGAACTGCTTCTGATTTTAACTGAATATTTTAATGCTTTGTTTTCTTCTTAATATGCCTTTTAATTTTTATTTAAAATTTTACATGCTTTTAAATACTATGTTTGGGAGTTTAATTCTTCCTATTTTAGTGCTGTATGTTACTACACATTAGTTAATAATCTTATAATAAAAACTACTGCTAGAAATAGATTTTAAAAAAATTAGACTTTTGTCTTAACTTGAAATGCATATAATGCATCTAATATACTTAAATCTCAGTGTTCTGTACATAAAACTGCAGTAGCAGTTAGCAGAATATTACTAGTACAAAGTAACGTAATAAACAGAAAATTATAAGTTAACTTGCTTTATATATACAATTATTATGAACAATACAACAAGAATTAGAAATATATATACTAAATTGAGCTTTTTTCAAAGCATTGTTTATATGACAAATTCCCTAACTTCAATAAAAATCTTTAAATAAAAGCTATACTAACTTGTCTAAATCTTTTAAATTTTTTAAAAGTCTTCTGAAATCCTCCTTCATCTGCTTATACTTTAATAACTGAAATCAATTTAGAAGATTTTCAAACAGGATTTAAAAATTTATACAAATTTCAAGCAGAATTGAATAATTTTTACAAATTTACAACAGAATTTAATAATTTTTACAACAGAGAAAGAATAAATATAGATTTTCATTAAAAAAAAAACAGTGATCATAACATATGACATTACATTTAAAATTGTTGAAGAGTTATATGCAAAATTGTAAATAATTTAGCATGCACATTAAACATTAAGTATTTGATAAATGCTTATGATTAAAAATTTTTTTTCTTCCTTCTGTTCCTTACACAGCACAGCTGAAACACAGCTTTTCAATACTTTTGGAATTTTTTTCATTTTTAACATTTCATATTTCTTATTAATAAAAAAGAAACATTTAAGATTCTCAAAACCATTTCATTCAGTTTTTTAAAGCCTAAAATTTAATTCCACTTTTAGGTTTTTAAAATAATTAACTATTTCAGTATTTTTACAAATACTTGAAAAGTTAAGTTTCATTTTATGTAAATACATAATAGAAAATGCTAATCCTTAAGGTTGGGGAAGGTAACTTTTCTCTTTAAAATTACATAATTAACAAGTAATTTAAAATTAAATACCATCTAGAGTTGCCAACTTAAAGCTTTATCTCACAGTCATCATTTATAACTTAAATCGTTATTACTAATGCAGTTAAGTCAGATATATAGTAAGGGAAACTATTATTCTGGTGATATACTATATAAATAATAACTTATAACAGTTTTACTGCAGTTTCATTTCAAAAGATCAATGCCTAAACTAACTTTGTACTTCTGTCACATAAAAAGTTTACTCAAAAGTTGAAAAAGGTGAACAATTGCTCACAAATATTATAAACCTAAATTTACTACCGTAAGATTATTCTTGCAGCATCTATACATTTTTTTAGTCTTGCATTCCAAAAGCATTTATTACATCTAATCAGATCATCTATTGAGTAAGGCACAGAGCACAAAAAATCAATGAGTATTTCAAAGACTTCAAAAATAACTTAAGTACATGATGGTATAGGCAGAAAAGTTTTTAAGAAATTTAATGCAAAAAGTGGAAAAAATCCTTCCTTTTTCTTTCTATTTACTTATTTATTTATTAGATATAATACATTTTACAATGTCCAAATTTTAAAGACTTTAAATTTCACTGAAAGTGCCCTTAAAAATAGCTGCGATATGACCTTAAAATAAAAAAAAAAAAAATTTCCTTAAAAATAAAAAATTTTCCGCAAAAAATAAACATAATAATATAAAAAAATTGGCACAATTGGTCCAGCATTGACAAAGGGATTAAAGCTAAAAAAATTACAACTGCCTGTCACTTGAAGTTACACAAATGCATTATATTTACACTGAATTATTACATGCTTTTTGAAACCTTAGGAAGCTTTGTTTTAAAAATAGGAAGCTCTATTTTAAACCAGATATGTGAAGGGATATTTTCTCTCCCAGCCCTTTGGAAAATGACTTAAACAAAATATATACAACAAATATTCTAAATTTTTAAATATCTGATGAGAACACCACATTACTTCCTTGTCTGGCCTATTAAATTATACACATTTTTTGCTGCAGTTCATTTAAACTTACTTTCTCGAATTTCATTAGAGGTATATTTCTCGTTAGTTCTCAGTTCTCATTTGTGGCAAGGCAAAAATACATAAAAACTCAAAACATCTTTATTAGAAATTATAAAATCAGAAAAACTTATCAAATACAGTTTTAAAAAAAAATTCTCAGTTAAAATTTTAGAGTTCCTACGCCAAAACAAGTAATTTGGCCAACAGGCAGGAAGACCGAATTCCCGATGCACAAAACTCAAAGTTAACTTTTGGTCCCACTCTGCATAAAGATACCTAGTGCACCAATGGACTTAATTCATTATTCTGCTATGAATTTCAAACAAATGGCCTCATTAGGCCTAGTGCCACTTAAACTTTCAAATTGTTGATAATTCTACAACTATTGCATGCAGATTAAGTAAAAACATAAAAATCTTAACTGAAACATAAAAATAACATAATTCAACCACATTTAAAGCAAAAAATGCACAATTTACAAACATATAAGAATAAAAATACTGAGCTCACCGAGACGGGTAACAGGGTGGGAATGTGTATGTATGTGTGTGCATGTATGCGTGTGGGCATTCGCACATTATATCTATGTTTGAAGCAGCTGAATGCAACAAAAAGGGAAGGTGCAAACTACGTTATAAGCATGGACCTTATAAGAGATAGACTAACCCAGTGGGCGGGGCACGCGTCACCGACATGTCCGCAAGAAAGAATAGGGGAGTTCTGGTTTACTTTAACACTGAAACCTATGGCATTTGTATCACATACTGTTTTTTAATTATTAATATGATACGTGTATAGTGATGAGATTATGAAAGTCACAGTTTTTTTTTTTTTTTCCAAATAGGATTTAATATATCTCATTAAAGCACTTAATACTGCATTTCACGCATTTTTTCATGCGCAATTCATGTACAAACATCTTTACTTTGGTAAAACGGTAAAAACTCTAAACACAAAATTTATGAACTTAATTTTGCGTAAAAATAAAATAAAATAAGATTGATAGTATGTGGTGCTTTGAAATAAATATGGAAAAATTAAACAAGATCTGATAATTTTTTAAAAAAATTTAATGAACATTTTTAGGCAGTGATTTTCAAAACTATAATAACATTAAAAAACGATCATTTATTTGATTATATCGTCATTAAACTAGATTATTTATTTTAGTAATTTATAAAATTCAGAGCATAAAATTTTCTGACTGTAATGAAGGGGAAAAAAAGATAAAATAAAATCTAGAAGCAGTCAGATTTTATATTACGCCCAAAAGGAACCTTTTTTTAACGTTTAGTGCGTTACCTATATTTATTGAATATTATGTTCTTCGCCCGTAATCCACATTTGAAACATCGCCCATAACATTTGAAAACAGCATAACTTTAGAATTTCTGCACTGGAGATAAAAATGTTATTTTTTGTGCAGTGTTACCATTGCTTGCTTTGAACTTGTTGAGTTTGTTAATCAAAAATTCATTAAAGTTTTACAAAATATGAAATAGATTAAAACAAATTTGAAATTCGGCCATCCAGATGATCATGTTCTGGTTGAGAATTACATTATTCAAAATTTGATGGCTCTAGATACCGTCGTTTTTGTCACAGTGTGAGAAACATACATGTATTCATGCAGATTCTTCATTATTTAATTTCTTTACATATAATACAGGGCGATAATATTTGGTAACAACAATTTGCAAGGAGACATGGACATTTATAGTGTAACAGCGCAAAATGTCGCTTCGGGCTAATAAATTAAACTAACAGTAAATAAAAAATTCTTATGCAGAACTAAAAATAAATTTAAAAAATAATCACTATAAAATACAGCAAAATTAATTATTACGGTTAAATACAATTTTAGTATTAGTATTAAATGTATAAAAATTAAGAAGTCAAAAGTGTTTATCACTATGATGTATTATTAAATATAATTTGAAATAAATTCCTTCATAGAAATTGTGCCATAATTCTCATCTATAATTTTAAAAAGCAGCACAATTTAGAATTTTAAACAAAACTTTCAAAAATTGGTTTTTAAATATTTTAGTATTTTTTACTTAAATAAGGTAAAATTCAACAAGATCTGATAGATTTTTTTTTTAAATTTAATGAACATTTTTAGGCAGTGATTTTCAAAACAATAATAACATTACAAAACGATTATTTATTTGATTATATCACCAATAAAATGCATAAAAAATTGCAAGAGAAAATTGCTTGTTTGAAATTTTCTGTTAGTTGAGATTTAAAATGTTATTTTCTAAAAGAAGTAGTTACAATTTTCCTTACAGCATAGGAAACGCTAAAACAATATCCAGCCCTGAAAGCATGCAATAGCTTAATAATTATTTGGAACGCTAATTATGCTTGATAAATATGCTAAATTTTTAAAAATCAATCTCAGTTTCAAAAATAAAAATACGGAGAAATTCTAACTTGTGAAATGAGGCGCTACAACCAGCTTTATCTTGACAATTATATATGCTTCTCTAGGCAAACCACTGTTAAATTTCTGCAAGTCGTCCCTACTCTTCCGGACGTGATCAAGGTGACAGCCGGGAACGCATCAGACAAGGGAGAAAACCCATTTGGGTTGGTCTATTTCTTATAAGGTCCATGGTTATAACAGACCCATATACAAAATTTCAATGCTCTATGGCTACTCGTTTTTAGCTATCTACTATAGATATATACGTAAGTACGCACATAAATCACAAAAAAATCTCTTCTGAATCCATTTTATAATCCGTTTGGGAAACACAGTTGTTTATTCTGTCTGTACGTACAGATGTCAGGATGTACATATAGGGAAGGCATTATGATTAATGGATGGATGGAATTCCACATGTTTGACAGAGGTTCATTTACAAAAGATCGGTACTGTAATGAAGTTATCCTCCCCCACATGCATCTTTTCTAGGGTGCCACTAGTTCCGACTTTGTTTTTTCTGGATGACAACGGATGGAGGAGCTTCTGGAAAGTGAAGATATTCACAGAATGGATTGTTAGCATGCTCCCCTGATTTAAATCCCATTCAGCATGCATGAGACAAGTTAGGGAGATGCTGATGATATGATCTTACCCTCTGGAAAACACCAAACAACTGAAGCAGGTGCTCCTTGAAGAATGAGAACTCTTACTCCAAAAACTGTTAAATAACAATAATCTGGTGTTGAGTTTCGACTTCCATTCAGATGACTGCTGTTTTATTTCATAATCATATTCGAATTCACGTCTCATCACTAGAAATAACATCAGAAAGTTTGAATCATTTCTGTTTTATTTTATAAAGAACTTAACAGATTTCCATATGCTCTTCTTTCAGGTTATCACTGAGAAACTTGGGTACAAACTTGCCATCAGTTCACTCCATGTTCATTTTATCTGATATTATTTG